TGAATATGCTACCTTATGTGGCTAAAGTGAAGTCACACCTTGATGTAAGAGGAGAATGACCCAGAGGTAGGAAGTTTATCCTGGATAACTCACCTGGATCCCATCTTTTTGCATGAGTCCTTAAAAGCAAAAAAAGAAAGAACCTTTCCTGACTCTAGTCAGAGAACCAGAGGACAGAAGCATGAGAGACACCTGACCTGCTGTTGTTGGACTTAAAAACAAAGGAAGGGGCCACAAGCCAAGGAATGTGAGTGGCCTTCAGATGTTGGAAAAGGCAAGAAAATGGATTTTCTCCCAGGTCCCCTAGAAAAAAACACAGGCCCACAGATACTTTGATTTTAGCTGAATGGGGCCTACATCAGGCTTTGGAACTATATAACTTTAAAATAATATACTTTGATGTCTAAGCCCAGCAAATCTGTGTTATAGCAGCAAAAGAAATGAATGCAGCTATGCCCAATAAAGTGCTAAGCAGCTCAGCTTGTGATCAGTATGTGGAATGGAGACAAAGCCAAGAGCTTTGGGTCCTCAGTGTTTGACATAAGTGATAGGGATAAAAAGGCACCACGAGTGAAGAGGACTTCTGAGTGTCCTTGGGGTAATACCATTTGGTTAGCCACCAGAAACAGGAAAAGAATGTTTCAAAGGAACAAATGCCCACATCAACATTGCAACATTTTGTGTATCAAATTTTTTGAGGGGTGGGAAGGTAAAATTATGGGAAGGTTTAAAAAGTAATATTAATACTTCTGTTCCTGTCAATATAGCAGCCTACATATTCCAAAGGGTCTTTCTACTTTCCAACAATGTATGGTAATTGATACATAGTTTATGTGAATTTCAGGCCTTCCAGGAAGTAAAATGATACTCAAATCCCTTCATCCCACCATAACAACAAAAATATAGTAGAGACCTTTTTATGTTGCTCACACTTTTAACCCAAGGATAATAAAAAGTAAGTTAAGCAAATTTTGAGATATCACCAACCAGCTAATAGAATCGTAAGGAATTACCAGGCACAAAGATGGGAGTCTAGAGAGGTAATGCCAGTACTCAGTGATTTTTGTCCTGGGGAAATTTTCCTTCCAAGAAAGGTAGCTGAGAAGCTGACAACAAAAACAAGGAACAAAAGGCACCAGCCATTAAACTTAAGACAATTCCAAGGAAGCAGGGGAAGGCAAAAGGGAGCTGAGAGGTAAACAGACACGCTCCAATAATATTAGCAACGTAGATACAGAGCAAAGAGCTAGAATTTGCAGTACATACGAACTCCAAGGATTCAGTAAGGAAAGTATTAAAATTTTTAAAATCTTCCACAGTTATAAACACGTATTTCATAGAGGCAGCTCCACAGATGGAAGCATGATAAGTTGTCACCAGGGAACACTATCTTAACACAAGACACATTTTGCACTCATCTTAGCAAAATTAAGAAGTCTGATAATACTAAGTATCAACTAGAATATCAAGCAATAGTAATTTTTATGCCCAGCTGGTGAAAATTTATAATAAATTGGTTCAAACACTTTGGGGAAAAAAATCAGTATACATACTATATACAAGCTTTGAATATTTACAAACCCTGCCACCCAGAAGTTACTTTTGGCTATACACCCTAGAGAGACACAAGGGTGTGCTCGCAGACATATGAATAAAAGCATTCATCACAACACTGGTAAAACAGTAAAAAAAAATCGTGTTGATCATAGTAATGGTTAAATATTGTGTATATTCACACAAATATCATACAACTGTGAAAGTAAATATATATAAGCAATAATGTAATGATCTAGCAAATTTTGACACAAATTTTCTAAAGATCAAAAACCTAATAAACTAGGAATACATTACTCTGGGAAAACACATGAATTATTTATAATATTTAATGAAAATAGCAAGTTGCAGAATACTAGAGTACAGCACCATTTTTAAAAAGCTCTAAAATAATCAAGACTAAATACCTATTGTTTAGTGATCCATAGGGATCAAGTGTAGTTTTACATGTAAAATTACACATAAGAACCAATAGCAACAAAGAGTTCAAATTAGAAAATCTAGAGCAGGGGTCTGTGGTGGAAAGGAACACACAGGAACTGCAATAGAATCAGCAAAATTTGATTCATTCTTGGGCCAGGGATTTAGCTCAGTGGTTCTGCCACCTGAGTTGCAAGCACAAGGTCACGAGTTCAAACCCTGGTACACACACACACACTCACACACACACACTCACACACACAAAAAAGGTTCATTCTCTAGGTGATGAGTTCACTGGTGTTTATTTCATTCTCACATTTAAAAATTTACAATCACGTTGCATATATTCTTTTGTAGCATCAGATATTACATAATAAAAATTTGCTTTCTCCATAAAATTGTAATATTTTTGCTAAGATTGCCACTCTAGAAACACATTTTTAAGGAGTTGAACTTGAATGAGCCACAAGCCTGAATGGAAAACAATGTCCTGTGAGATGATACAGACAAATGCTGTCTGAGCTCAGCTCAGGACTAATAGTCCGACTTCATATCACGAAATCATTATAAGATGACGGACCCAACCCGTCAAAAAGCCCCCAATTGGTGGCTCATTTTCAGGGTAAGTCCTATCTTTAAAATGCTTTGCTCAAGAGTAGATGTGGGATTTATGTGGCTGTTGACTGCAAAGTGCCTTCTAATTCTATCTCCAACAAACTCAAAAGTCCCACTCACATATTTGAAGGAAGAATACAAAAAATTGGTTTTATTTAAATATAAAGTTTAATCACACAATGATGGCTTTGTTACCAGACATATTGGAGGATTGGGAAGGGACAGTTTAGAATGCATTGACCTAAGTAATTTTGACTCAGATCAGTTTCTTTCTGCTATCACTTTTAGGGCAACTGTGGCAAAGACCTACCCTAACGATAACCCCTCCTAACTCAGCATTCAGGCGCACACACAGCCCTTTGATCTTCAAACCTAAGTTCTCCTCCACCAGTTGCCTTTTGCTATTGACAGGGTAGTGAGAGTGACAGGGGAGAGGGGACATGTGCAGGGTGGGGTTTGAGACAACATAATACAGCCAATAGGAATTAACAGGCATCAGAATCACACTGCAGGCTGTGAAACAGAGCTGTATACAGAAGTTAAACAGTCCTGAGTCCAAATTCCCAGTTCCACCATCTTTTAGTTAGGTGACAGGTGACGAGCTACTAAATTTGTCAGATTCTTAGCTCTCTCATCTGTGTAGGAGTTAATGTACCTACATTGCAGTTTCAAGTATACTTATAAATTATAAATGCTTAGTACACACGCCAATATGGTGCTTCCTTTGCATTGTGTTCTTTCTAGATTTTTGATAGAGACAGGTAAGTTTACTTGCTCACTCCTTCATGCAGACATCTTCACATTCCTTTTCACTGTTGAATCGATTTCCTGAGCCATTACAGCCACTGAACCAAAAGCGGGCACAGGAGTTGACCTGTTTGTCATAATACCATCGAACCACATAGTCACCGCAGTTCCCAGGCTTCAAGGGTTCCAGACATCTCTGATCTAGGGTGAGAAAAAGATACACAATATTACCAGAGGGAAAAAATGTTACTGAAGTGATGCATTATAAAAGCTTTATGAAGTTATTTAAGTAATTTTTTTCCTATGCATACTAACAGATCAATTAAGAAAATTAGTGAAATAATTCATAATACTCAAAATATTCTGCCCACCATTTGACACTCTACTATTAGATATTCACTCCTTAGGAAACAAAAGCTTCTGATCTTCATGAAATAGCATTGAAATGCATATCTTCCTGAAAGCATTATAAAATGTCACTGACTGAGATTTTTGTGGGGATTCACTGACAGAAGAAAGATAAGATTACTTTCATTTACTGTGGGGTTTTATTTAAAACCCAACTTAATAGTAGAGAGACAATGGCTTCAGCCTTCTGGACACATCCATTCTAGCTGGTTCACAGAAAATACCATTATGATTACACTGTGCCTATTAAAAAAGGAAAACCTTTTAAGATACTGAAAAAGTAAAAGGAGCCTCTATTCTTTATTGAAGGACAGCTCTTACAGAACACTAAAATATGACATGACTTCTTATGTCAGTTTATAAATAAACTTCAAAAATGCAACTATTATAGGAAAGCAAAAGAGAACCGTATTGTGGTAATGAGGCTCCTTTAATCACAGAGCTGCTCATTTGTTAAATCCATTTTTATAGAACAACACTCCATATTGCCTTGATTCCTATTTCCTATGTGAGGATGTGATTCCAAGGAGAGAATGTCTAGAACAAAAGACCAAGTAGATAATTGCTATGTAAGACTTTTGTGAGATAGTTCATATGTCATAAGTTTCACCTCTCTATAGCAGAACCAGCCCTTCCTCCATTTCCCCAGACTTAGAGTATATCTTGAATCATTTATCAATTATTATGATAAATAGTAGTATTTATTGATATTACCAACATCATGATTAATAATGATTAATCATTTTCAAAAACTGACCTCTAAATCTACATCTCCTACAAAGCCTCTTTAGGCAAAATGGAAAGGAACAAACATATTACTTCTGTTCTTAAAAACAAAATAAATAATGACTAATGTATGTCTTGTTTTCAAGACAATCTAAGGTTCTTGAGGACATGGATATTATCTTTCTTAAATATTTTACAAAACAATGTATATAATGATGTCTTTTCTGTATGTATCAGCTCCATGGAAAACTTGCTAATGGAATCAGAATCTGAATTTCAGTATTTTCTTTCTTTTTATATGATCAAGGGAAGGGCATGTGTAAGAAAACAGGGAACAGCTGGAAACAGGACAACACAATCTTCTGTAAAGGTATTCAAACTAAAATAAGAATTTAAAAATTTTATTATCAAATTTATTCTACAGCCATCTGGTTTCAGATTCTACATATAAGTCAGCGAAAAATATCTTTGTCTTCCTTGTTTACAGCCTTAATGGATGAGATTTAAGAGACCATCTTCTCTGTGCCTTCCTCTCATGGGAAATATGGCAGTTCGTTGGAAGATATTTCTTACCTTTGTACAATAAATTTTCCATCTCTGGTGTCCAAATTGGATTTGGAGTTCTGGTTCTCATGTCACCAGAGGTGCTCAGTGATGGTCCAAGAGTGGTGGCAACTTTGGAGGAGGCAGTGGTGGCCAAGCCATCAGCCCAGGTAGGCTCTGGAGACTCATTTTCTTCATCCTGGCCTGCAAGGACACTGAACTACACACACACACACACACACACACACACACACACAAGGTTCAGCATTATTGTAACTCCTTAACTCAGATATCAACTCTTTCAAATGAAGGCTCAAGAAATAATGCCCCTCCTCTACATCAGCATCCTGGGAATGAATCTAGATTGTGCATTTTCCCACCACCTTGTGTAGGTGTCTGTACACACCCATGTACTACTCCCAGGCATGGATGCTTTTGTGCCAGAACTTCCAGGGAGATCTGCATGCAGGGCATGAAAGATGTGAGATGGAGAAGGGTTTATTTTCTTCATTTTTTGTTTAGTCTTTGCTATAAGGAATGCAATCAGGCCAGAAAATTTTCATGGCTTTTTCTCTCCATTTCCTAATACTAGAAATCTTGAAAATGTAATCAGCTATAACAAAACTAACACACTTTGAGGCTGGCAATTGAAGTGGCAAAGGTCAATAAGACAGTTGATATAAAAATACTAATAGCAATCACTTGCCATCTCATTTGACTGCTTTCCTAATCTCAGCTGAAAACACCTTTTGACTGCCTGTCCTATCATCCCAACCCTCACTAAATCCAAATGCCATATAGTGCTTAGCTTCTACAAAAATTGTCTGATATTGTCTGGCATCTAATTCACAAAGTTTATAATTTCAAAAGCAAATTGTCAGGACTTAAAATCTCTAGATTTTATTTAAATGTATGATATATAATGAAACAGGAAGAAAAGTGTTTTGCTTTTAAAAAAGGAAAGCCATGTCAGTTTTCTTGACCATTATCAGGAGCTAGGCAAACACTCTGTGGGAACAACTGTGCTCTCTTTTTTTTTCCTGGGACTAAGCTAATTGTTCACTTGAATTGTGAGCCAGTATGGACATTTGTCCTTTCAAAGCCCCCTCTTTTGAATTTATTTGCGTTTTGTAGCTTTAAAAAGGTGAATCAATGCAGTCAGTAGTTTTTTATCCTTTTCTACACAGGGTTTCTGACAAATTCTGACCAGGGCTGTGTGTCATCATTCACTGTCCTCTGCCATTGAAGCTGTTCTATTGCATTTGATTCTGCACACAGACATTCACACACACACACACACACACACACACACACACACACACACACACATTCTAAAAGGGCTAATTAACTCTATATTTGATGTATGTATATTTTTATTGTTATTAAGTACTAGCACGTAAGTCAGAGCACTTATTTCTCTTAGTTTAGGTTGTCAGCCCTACAGTAATTTTTTGGCGGTTCCAAAACACAACCTTTGGTACAAATGGAGGTAAAACTGTACATTCCCTTAGTCTGATCCTCTGTGGAACATGGCAACTTGAATATCAACTTTCGTTACAACAACACAACTAGAGAACTTCAACGCTAGAGAAAGACCCTCAGTCCCCCATTCCCCACTAGGAAGAACGGAAAAAGACCTGGTCTCAGACAATGAACACTATTGTTTTTAGTTTTTGCTTGCACATATGTCATTTTGAGAAAGAAACAAGCATTTGAGAATCAGTTTATCAAAGGCAGAAGCTAACTGATATTAGTCTACGCTTCAGGTATATCATCTGAAGAGCGAGAATGTTTCTTTGCCAAAGTGCTCTGTGAAGCATAGTTTTCTTAAAGCAATTCACTCAGCCTTGGAGTCTTGAGTCCTGCAGCCTTATAAATTAATCTCTACCTCTTGTGAGTATGGGACTATTTGTTTTCTTTGTCATCATATAACCATGTAGGAATTTTGATCACTGCAACATTACACCACAATTTAGAATAAGCACAATTAACCTTGTTTATAAATGAAAATGTCATCAATCTTCTGGATGAACACAATTTCAGATTATTTAAACAAATGCACAATTTGTTATGGTGTGCAATTTCTATAACTCTCTCTCCTATTATAAAAGCAAACATGTACATGGAAAGGAACTTTAGAAAATATGAACAACCAAAGAGAAGAAAATAAATAGAAGATGTAATTCTACCTCTGAGAGATATCATACTAGTTACTGATACATTCTCCCAGTCTTTTTTTCTATGTGTATAGATTTTTAACAAAAAAAAAACAAAGGCTGTATGTTTGGTTTACCATGTGAGATGCTGCTTATTTTTTATTTATTATACTATGATCAGAGCATGTATTTGACTGTGACTATAACACTATTTCAAATATAGAACACACACAATCTAATGGCCTTTAGGGAAATATATTTCCTTTTTTCTGTTATAAATCTCACGGCTATTTGCTAGGTTAATGAACATATATATTTAAGTCTTTTGAGAAAACCTTTTCTCCAAATACTTTTTTTTTTACAAATTTGAATGCTCATTTCCTTTCCTGAACAATCACCATTTATTAGATATTCTGATTGAAAAATTAGATTATTGCCAGTTTGATGGGAGAAAGCTTTTTCATCTGATCTACAGAGCCTGCACAAACTCTCTCCTCGACCAGTTATACCCTGGCCTCCCCCTACTTCCTTTCCCAACTCCCCATTTCTCCTTCCTCTTTGTTCTGCCTCAGGCTCTCAAATCAACCCCTTCACAATATCTCAGGAAAAGCTGGTCTCTCCCTGTAAAGTTTTGATATCCAGTCAGTACTCATTCTCCCCTGCTAGAGAGTGTACAGTACCTTCTGACTCTCCTACGCTTGGCCCCAGTTGTATAGAATTGAACCTGCAATCCTCTTCTACATCCCGCCCCGAAATATGTCACTTTTGCATACTATTTTGAGCTAAGGGCAGTTGACACATAAGAAAAGCTGATCCAAGAAAAGCTCTCCACCCTCTCCTTATTTGCCTAAAAGCAAAACATAAATGTTTAAAGTCGCACCCACCTCTCTACTAGGAAGCATAGAGTTAATCACTGAAGACAGCCCTAGTCCCAGCCCAGAGACAGTGCCAGATTTATGTAGTCCTTGTGTTGTGCTAGTTCTTCCATATATTCGCTTTCCCCTAATTTGCTACCCTAGAAGCCCAAAGTCCTTTTCCTTTGTCTTGTCACCATCTGCAAATGTATTTTTCTTTTGGTTAGGATGATGCACAAGCTCACAGTGCTCTCTGCCCCTCTGCATTATTCGTCATGGAGTGTTCCTGTGCATTATGTGTGCTGCACCTTAATACGCTTACTTGTGCTCCTCTTGTTCATCTGTCTTGTGTCTGTCAAATTTAAAGAGCTCCAGACAATGAGCTTAAGAGAGTGGAGGAAAGAGAAAAATGGTCCTTCTTTCCACTGTCTTGTATTGTTTTCTATTTCAGTTGTATAAATATCACATTCCTGATAAGAGAAATTAAATTATGCCACTTTTGCTTGTTTTCTTACTTTTTCTCTTTTTTCTTTTTATCTCTGTAAATAAGAAAATAGTAGCTACTGAACAAATTCACAGTGGGTTGGGGTCTATTATAATCATCTGCAGGTTGAACTTAATAAAGCACAGGGCACAACAGAAAAAGACAACTTTGGAGGATCCAAGTCCTCTAGGCTTTAATGTCATCCTTTGTAAAATAAAAACAAAATAAGATTAGATCCTAACCCAGCTTCCAACTCTACGACTGTATCAAGAAACAAACTTAAATGGCAGGATAAACACCAAATTCATGCTAAGGGTTGCCTCTGGACAGAGGACAATGAGCTCTGGGAGAAAACTAACTCAGAATTGAACTGTGAGTGAACCAAAGGAAACCCTGGTGATTCACAGGGGACGCTCAGGTATTTGTTATGTTGCTTTGAAAAATCAATGTTAAAACATAAGCCTGCCCACAGGTCTGCACATCTCTGCTCCGGCCTTGAAGAAGTGGGTGGCCTCAGCTCCATCCAGGGGTTCACCATAGAAAAAGTACAGAATGGGAGTCTAGGGGGACGTCCAGGGCTTCTGCACACAACTGGATGAGCAGATATGTTAATCATTCTGCTCTAACAGCTGCAATTTGAGTAGAGGAAAACATACCCAGTGCAGCATTCCCAGAACATGAATGCATAAGCTAAGAATTGCCAACCAGGCAGCACACCATTCCAAAACTTTGGTTTTCATTTCTGAACACTTTCCTCATAATTTGTTGCCCAGAATCTGGCATATATTATAGACAAGCTCTTCAAGTCTGAGCTCATGTCTATTCTGGATGAACGCTAATTATCCTGTGCATTATCCCTTGTATTCAGACTTAGCATTTTCCAAGCAGGGAGAGTCACAATTTCTCCTATTTGGGTGTGAAAGATTCTGCCACTGTCAGAGGGCTTGACAACCAGTGCCTTCCAAGCATTACTGCTCAGGAGCCCTTCTTGAGAGATACCTCCTGGGGAACAAGAATGCTTTGCAAGTATTTAAACTGAAGGCTTTAATTTGCATTTCAAGGTTGTAGAACTTGGGAACCCATTGAGCTTGGGCTGCACTTCTGTGAAGGTGGAATTCAGGCTTTTCTATTCGGTTCCAAGTAAACCCTCTCAGAGCTTAGTCTAATGCCTGCTGGTATGGCATTGCCCAGCAATATTTTCGCCTGCTGTGATTGTGTGCTTTAGAGCACGAAGAATATTCTTGTTTTATAGATAAAGAAATGGGAATCGTAAGAAACAAAAATGATTCGCCCCATGTCATACAGGTGTCAGAATTTACTTCTAGAATGTCATTCCTTAGGGAATAACATGATAAAAGAAGGGCCAAAATGTATACTAGATTAAGTAAGAAAAAGATGTTCAAAAGAAAGGGGGAAGTGGGGGGGATAAAATGAGAAAAGAAAGAAAATATGGAAATGGGGCTTTCATAAATAAGGAGAGGAAGAAAGATTGAAGGGAGAGGTGGGGAACAGGAAAAAAATAAGAGGAGTCAAGATACATCATGTTCAGATACAAATTCCCTATGATGAATGTGGTCATTATGTATATTGAAATTATACTTATAAAATTAAAATTAGAAAAAGGGGAAAGATGTCCCCTGCTCCTGGGTAGGAAGAATCAACATACTGAAAATGGCCATACTACCAAAACTGCTATACAGATTCAATGCAATACCAATTGAAATTC